AGCACAATCTGTTGATCCTTGCGTAGGAAAAGTTGGACAGGCAGCTGCTCCTGAAGGTTGCGGTGCCCAGCAGCCATCTGTTGCTGCACCACCACCAGCAGCAGAAGTTGTTCAATCCAACTACCAACAGGCACCAGCAGGTTCTCAATCTCAGGCTCAGCAGAGTGCACCTGAACCAGATTACCAAGAGGGTGCAGCAGCTGGAAACCAAGATTATGAAAACCAGCCGTCACAAAGTGCAGGAGAAACTGGAGGTTATGCTCAGCGACAACTGAGGCACTAAACTCAAACCTATTTAACAAACTTTATGCATAAATTATTGGATTACCAGTTATAAAATGTTTGACTATTGAAATACCAATAACCGGCAATCTTGTAAGAAAATAAAAACTGTTGCTTATAACGTAGCACTAACAGTCCTAAAAAGCAGTGGAATATACAAAACCGTAGCTAAAATTATTTGTTTGATATTATTTCTCAAATACTAAACGAAAAAATCTTGAAAAAAGTTTCGTCGAACAAATCCTTTCAAAAAACAAAAATTTCAGCCATATTTTTCAAGCGTTGAATAACTTACATTCTTCTAAATCTCTGAAATTTTTGATTGAATTTGTGTGGCGGACGGCTTAAAGAACTGAAAAAAAAAAGAAAGACAACTAAATCATTAACATAAAAATTCTTTTTGATATTCTTTTATTTTTCTTACAAAATTTTCCGTAAATCTCTTATGGCATTAAATAACAATAGATGAAAAGAAGTGATTAATCTGTTGTCGCATAATTAATTGGAACGTTTGCGTTCGCTGGACATAACGGAACCGGAAATGCATACGCGTTCGTTTACCATTTTCGGCACACTATCAAGTTTTGTTTTTTTGCATCTTCCATGTTCCTAACCGTAACACATTATTTTATGCACAGTGCTTCCTTTAAATATTTTCAAACGTCGCTGACATATATAATTATTCTCAACTAAAGCTATTCTTCCAGTTTGAAAACCCCGCAAGACAATCTCCAAAGTATACATTCGGAAGCATGTCTTCTTTTCAGAGCAATACGGTCTTGATGCACGCAACAACTTTCGATCCTTTCTTTTTATAGTTCACTTCGAATCACACCACCCTCAAAGTCGAATTATAGATCCACTAACAAAACACTGAGCAAAATGATGCTGATACTTCATTAGAACTCAAGAAAATAAAGAAACAATAACAGTAATAACAGGCAAAGAAGTTAAAGGCAAGCCAAATCTGCACTGACAACGTACATATTTATTAAACTTCCAGGACCTCCCCCTACCTGTAAACACTTCAAAGTAACCTACTGTACAGTACAACGAAAATTACCTCTAACTACAGTATAAAGGTCTTGAGCCAGCGAAATAAATATAACTTCACTGTTTCAAAAACCCTTCATCGGTACTTCTCAAACCCCTGGTTCCACCCAAAATCGTTTTATTTTTGTAAATCTAATGAACCTGTCAAATAAAATGAGAGTAGGAGAAAAGAATCTTCGCTAGCAGTTGCCGACGTATCGGAGTAGTTGAGCAACTTTTTTTGTGAACTACTTAAGAGTTCTTTTTTATCTCTTACTTCATTCTGATAGTCACCTAAAATTATTAAGTCATCTGACACCAACAATTCTCCAACGCGTGACATCGCACCGCCCAAAAGCAACAGAAAATACCGAGGCCATCGAAGCCTTTGAAGCCCAGTAGAAGCTTACAACCTCCCCAAGTGGGTGATTTGAACCTATAAAAACAAATTAGCAGCACAAGATCAGAAAGTTGCAGCACACTATTCCAATGCTTTAATGAGCAACAACAGCTATCTAATATCTTCTTTTCTTCTTACAGCAAAAACTCTAAGAACGTCAACAAATACACATATGATTCCTTTATCCTTCGAGTCATTAAAGTTGGAAACAATCAATAGAGACCAGTAACGTCTAAGAAAAGGATGATCCGGCAAGCGCAAAGACAAAATTTTTTCTCCAAAAAAAAAAACAGCTACCCAAATTACAGAAAAATTGTTATGCAGCATTCAGAAACTTCAAACCCAGATTTTCTTTATGTTTTACGCAAATTCTTATCTTCAATTCCAATAATACACTGAGTTCGCATAAACTGAGTATTCATGAAAATTGACCTACCTATAAAAAAGCAGGCAGAAAAAGTGCGAAAAAATATAATACAATGTTTCGTCATATTCGATAAAAACATTATACTTATCATCCTGTCTACTACACACTTTTCACTAAAGTAATTTCACCTGTATCTTTTTATATCTAACAACTACAAAAAAATTACCGCGCTTTTGCTTTGCCGGCTCTTAAACAGCAAATAGAAGGCGTGGCTTCACGAAGCAAAAAAAAGTAGCAAATCAAAAAACTCTTTCCCTGTAATGAAATAACTACTGTAAATCACGGCTGTTAACAACTTATTTCATACCTGCTCAATTTATTAAGCGATAACCAAAATATAAATGCAAAAATAAAGAAGTGCACATCAAATTAACTGAATATAACAGTAGAGCAAGCACCAAAATACATATAATAGCTCCTTTTCGTAATAAGGCATCTCGTGAAAGACAGCATTTAAAAACAGTATCACACAACGAAACATTCCAAGAAAATGTAAGTAGAAACGGCAGTTAGCATGGACTCAAGATTAATATCTAAAGCCCACAAAAAGGCATGAATAAATTAATAAAAATTTATTAAAACAAGAGATATTTGTAATCTACAAACGTCAAAAAATTTTTTCAAGTGAAACGAAAAGTTACAAGGAAAGTATTTAGGAGTAGATAATATAAATAAAAAAACACTACTTCAAGTGACCAGACGCAGGAAGAATAATGTAAAAATCTCAGTTTTAACAATCCACCCAAACACAGATTTATAAAGATGATGGGAGAAATCATAATAATTTTGAGAAGAAATCCTGCTTCAAAAAAGCCAAATTTTAGTGGTAAAGACAAAAAATGACTAATCCTTTTAAAAAACTATCTTGATGATTTTATAATATACTAGATAAGAAACTCAACTCAGATGCACTGTTAGCGGGATACTACAAGTTAAGTTAGTGACCAAGAAGAATAAAAATTTCGAGCCGGACTTGCATGACCAATTTTACTTTTAAGAGAACAGGCAAATTCAAATCAACATGATTATAACGCTGCAAACAAATTTTTATGCAATGCTGAAACATTTATGCTAAAATGATAAATGAACGTAAAAAAGGAATGATATTGCCAAATCTTTTGTTCATTAATAAAACCCAATTAGAGAAGCGAAAAGAAATTTGTTTCTGATGTGATAATGCAATTTCTAAATAAACACATAGGTTGGTGCTTCCAGTAATTTCACTCACTTCAACTCTGAAAAGCTAATAAAAGCTGCCTCTCATATGCCTAGTCAAAAGCATAAAACTCAGCCCACTTATCGTAAGAACTTCTAGGTAAACATAATGATAATGAATTTCATGAACAGTAAACAGAGAAAACTTAGGACTCTTCACACGTTCATCGGTTTCCTTAAACTCAAGATTGAGCAAAAAATTAAAAAAAAATTAACAATATTAGCACGTAACATAAGGTTCACTGACTTAAAGAAAAACATAGCTTTAACCCTAAAAGCCTCATTGAAGAACCAATTTTCTGCTGAGTTGCAATAAAATACAAATCATAAAATGAAACAAAATATGAAGTCAGGCATGATTCCACACAAAGTTAGTTTCTTTTTTTAAAGCTGTGTAGTAAATTTAAAAAAATGGCAGGAGAAACTATAGTCTGATCTATAATCAGCATATTGGTAGTGCATCATTTACGCTTTTTTGTATTCTCCTAGGAAATTGAAATGTCAGAAGATTAGGCCTGAACTAAATTTAAGCAAGTTTTTCAAATGTAAATATAAATCAACAACTCCTCAGTGCAGCGACATAATTTCTATGGCTAAATTTCCAAGATAACTTAAACTAAAAAAACAACATGACAATAAATGAGGAAATAGAAACATAAAGACAAAAATGCATTAGTTTAGTACAAAAAATGAATTTTGAAAATCCTTGCAAATCGCACTAAGACACAATAAAGCACCAAATATCATCTCAAAAGTGATCAGCCTTATTATGAATATTTCATTCAAAATTATACATCATAGAACTTTTCAAAATTATACATCATAGAACTTTGTTTGAAAATTCATTAAAAACAGCCGTCATAATCTTCCTCTATTTATTCTTGAGTCCTGATTTGGCAATGATACTGCTATTAAACAGAAACAGTAAAAACTCACTTTTTCGCCAAGCTTCTAATCTTGTTCGCAAATGCCGTTGCAAACCTGCTGGCAGACTCTAACCTGAATTTTTTATGGTCTTCCGGAACAGTGTCCTCATTCACCGGAACTTTATAAAGGCCATCGCGTAAACTAAAGGCTATTCTTAAAAGCTCGTAGACATTCCCTTCAGGTAAATTCTGGAAATTTTATGAACCTCACTGAAAGGAAAATAAAAAAGGTTTGTATAAAAAATCCGTCTAATTACCTCAGATCCAACCTATAAAAAATTAGCATATCAAACAGTGATACTACCTGTAGGAGCCTCAAACAAGAGCTAAAGTCGCCATTTAACAAATTCTGCCTTTCCCTTTGCAAAACAGCAATGCAAATCCATTGTACAATATTGATGCGATTTGAAGCAGAAAAGACCGAGTCCCATATTATTATCACATCTACAGTTCAAAAGAGTGATCTTATTTCAGAAATTAGACGTTAAAACGCTTCAAGCTATGTAGTAAAGAAAACAACGACATATATTAAATAATATAAATGAACGGTGCTTAACACGCAAAACAAAAAAAAAAAAACCTGGAAGAGGAAATTCTTGAGAGAGTAAGAGCGACAGCCATCGAAATGCAAAAAACTGCGGTTTGACAGCAAGTTTACTAACAAGATGATCATACAGTTGATGATCACAGATACGTAGCCGTTCGCAAAACTGACTCATAACCCAAGCTGTTCAATTCAAAAGCAGGTAATATAAAAAACAAGTCGATAATGTAATGATACATTTAAAATTATCCTGTTGCTCTTCTCACCCTACCTACTTGGAAAATGAAAAAACATCAACGAACTTACTAATGCCACAGTTAGAATTGTCAAGGGTCTTGATAAAATTATCCTTTATTTCACTCATCAAAATTTGAAAGCAATAATAAGTGTCTGCTTCAGCAAACTGCGTCCACTCAGTGTTATTATCATTCGAAAAAACATAATATAATGGTCCAACGATTTCATTCATGCCCTAAAAAAATTGAAGCAGTTTGCCGCTTCCATGTTCAAATAATCAGCAACTGTGATTTTTAGAACCGGAAAGTCCAAAAACAATTAATGGAAATCCGGCTAATGAAAAGCAGATCCACTAGAAAAAGTGGTATAAGTTTCCAAACGTTAGAAATAAAAACTTCGAGAATGACAACTACAGAAAAGTTAGATAAATTTGTAGAACATATCGTTAAATAGAACAATTTCTTCTAAAAGCACCAATTTATTGACTGCAAAAAGAGTGTTCAACAAAATCACAAAGATAAATAGCAAAAATTAAAGATCTTCTGCTGTTAAATAATTCAAAATAAACCTATAAGAAGGGTACCAGAAAACTGCCTTCTTCTGCGCTTAGAAGTTGTTGTGAAGATACAAAAAGCAAATATAAACCCATTATATATATAACGTTTCGTGGTTAAATGTACGAAAACTGCTAAAAATTTTGTTACCTGAACATACTTTACACCCGGATTCAGCTTGCTGTAGACAAATAAAATCCTTTCAACAACTTGCCAGTGATATTCTGCGCCCTCGCAAAGAATTTCATTTGTGTAATCGTTTTTGGCAACTTTCGATGGAGAAGGTATGAACTGAAATGTTATTCGGATTAAAAGCGATAGAAGATAATCGAAAAAAAAAAGGAATTTTTCTGGATTCTTCATTGACAGGCCAAACAGAGTTTTTTCAAACCAACAAAATTCGCACTTACGCTTCCTGCGGTTGAGCCGCTATATGTTCTGTCATGGTCCTCAGTTTCCAAAAACTCCTGGCAAATCCTTTTAGAAAGATTGATTCCTGCCGCAGATCTATAAGCATACCTAGTGCATCAAAAAAAGTTTGTAGAAATCACTATTTATCCTAAATGTTATAACAGAGCGGAGCTAGAATCAAATAATTTCTCTTCTTTAAAACTGCCAAAAAATTCACTGATTGTGAGAAAATATATAAATTTTAACATAAAATAAATTTATAATTACTGCCTTCTACCGTAGAAACTGGATTAAAAAGCAAATAAAAAAGCGAAAAGTAATAAAAATGAACTACCGATGAGGAAAATTCGTTGCCTTTTGAAAAAATTCTATCTCTGGACAGAGACGCCGGACGTCTTTATCAATTTGCAACAACACCTCGTTGTCTTTGAAATATTTTTTCCACTCACTATCCGCATTCAGATTCAATGGCTGAAATTAAAAAAAAAAATTATAAGTCACCAGAACATTGTTTGAACATAAAGATACTATTGTTCAACTAGTGATAACAATTACAAAATCTCTTTGCAGAAAACAAAAGGTGCTGGTAAAGGATCAATCGGACAGGGATATTTAACATAAAAGAGCGCCTACATGGTCCTCTGCAACTGTTATACCAGTAGTACTACATGCTTGCCCTGGAGCTACAATAATTTCTTCCACAATTGCATCGTATGTTTCACGTTGTTTTTTAAGGAAGTCTGCCCAAGCATCCCGTTCCAAGGGCATATACCCAAGAAGAATACGCCAACAAAGTGGCCGAAATTTCTCATCAATACCTAAAAAATAATGCATAAATTTATACACTAAAAAAATTGAAATTTGAGGTGAAATTTAAATGTATGCAATATAATGAATATTAGCAATTTAATAAATTCAAAAAAACTGCAACAAAACGAGATATCCCCAAAAAGAAATACCGTTTTCACAAATCCTTCTCAATTCGTCAATATTAATTACCGAATTTTGCAACAACAATATCCGTTCCAGCTGAGCTAATCTAAAGTCACTTTCACATCGGTGGTAACTGCTAACAAAAGTACGAAAAAGTTTTAAAGTAACATCAACTAATTCATGAAATCCTAATATTTCACAATAAAAGTCTCATAGTTCATAAATTCGTAAAAAAATACCTTTCTTTATACTTCGAAGTCATTTGCGTAATCAACAAACAAATGCCAAAAAAAAGGACATTTATCCTTACAAATTACGAACGGGAGTAGAAAAGTATTGCTGGTATTCGACGATGCGATAATAGAGCTTTGAGGCCACTGTATCCACAGCAATATAGTGGGGCCAGAACACTTCAATAATGGAAACAGCAGAACAACGGTCCGACAACAACCAACGATCAGCAACAGTTTCAAACAGATGCGAGACAATATGGATACTAAGGCAGCAGCAACCTTCAAATGGTGATGCAGCCGCGCTGGCTACTCGCCAACATGGATGTTTCCGCTGATTTCTGTTGACGACAACTATCGCACACCGACGGACTAAAGGACATGCGGCTCCTGCAGACCAAAACATGCTGTAAATCAACGATTGAGTGAATCTGAGTGTGTATCTGTCAATGCTTCATGCATTGGTTTAAATGTTTAGTTGTCATGTTTATTATGGCTGTGAAATTAGAGCTTATTTTAATGATTTTAGTGACAAAAGAAAAAGTCGCTTGTATCCGATAATCGCTGAACCACAGTAAATAATCAAAGTAGATGAGCAATTAAATAAACAAACCAAAAGCTGTTTGATAAACCAAAAAGTTGTAAGGATTTTGGGGACGACCACAAACAAAAATACGCACTCTTAAGCACAGCACCTATATATATATATATATATATATATATATATATATATATAAGCGCGAAAGGCATGTGTTTTATCTGATGCTTGATACTTCCAATTATTTCGTGTTATATTTGGCGAGAAAACAGGGATTCCTAAACTCTTCTTACTAGCGAAATGCCCACTATGAGTTCAACGCCTATTCGTCAGAAACTTGAACAAAGACGGCATAACTGTGGTTCAGTGAAACTTTCTAGGCAAACAAAGCGAAATAATTTTTTAGGCACCTACAAATTTCAACCAAACAAACTTCTAAGCTCTTTAAGAAACAGAAAGTGTTATGCCATCGGGAAGAAAATCTTCGTTGTTGCTTGCAGTTTAATATTTTTCCTTCCGACTAACGGTTAGCGCATGAAAACATGGTAATGCCAACTGGCCTTCTCAGTCATAAATGTGGCGACTCAGATGTGATAACTACCTCAAAACATTGTCTGTTGGTTAAATGTTCCAGTAGTAACACTGAAATCCCAGTTTCAATACCTGTTACATTCAATCCAATATTGTAAACTCCAAATATATAACAAATGATATTTACACATTATCCAGTGTTATGAACGTTCTCTAGAAAATCATTCGGAAGTGTAACAGGACAAAAGACGTAGTAAATAAGTGAAAGGATAGAAACTTGCCATTTTTAGTATTTTAAAACTGTAAATTAGAAATGTTCCAAAAGTGCAACACCAAAGTCTTTTTACAAATGACTTCCAGGGATCGTCAAAATGAACAAAGAGTACGCGCAAAAAATTCACAATCATATAAGATGAAAGTTCAACGGTAATTTGAGTAAATTATATATGTAATGAGTTCACAACTTTGATGCTCCTTATTAAGTATTGTGTGCTTCTGGTGGCAACAGCACTCTCGCTTTCATTAATATAGATTCTTCAAGCGAACCAGAATTAATAAACGACTTTAAAGCATAGTAAATGGGTTCTTTCGGAGGACTATCCCGTTTAAGCATTTTTTCAAAGATTTCGAGAATCATTGTAATTTTCTGAAAAAGAAAAAGTTTCAAAGAAAAGCTGCAAACAATCGTTTTTTTCCCAAAAGTAGAAAAGTTAAACCGCATATTTAAAAGAATTACAAATTTGAGCAAAGAAGGTAATTTTTTTCAAGAAAAGTTAGCAAATCAAACTGTAGCTGCTCACTCTTGGTACAGTTGTATCCAAAATAACTTGTGAAAACACATCCAACAAGACTGATAAATCATTAGCATAAAAAGTCTTTGAAACCAAGTCATCTTTTGGCGTAATATATATGTCGTACAGCAACTTTAACGTACACATTTCTGGGTAAAAAAAAAAGTTAGTAAACTTAAACCTACTCAAATATACAACGAAGGAAATACTACATTAACATTTTTGTCCTCTGTATGAAACAACGTTTAC